AGGAGAGTCCATCAGGGTGAAGCTGCACACAAGGAACCATCAATGCCCAGATGCTTGAGTTCAGGTGGGACCTGGGCCAGGCAGGATAGATAACTGTGATGATGACACAAGGGCACAGGACAGAGAAACCTTCCATCTCATCACTAGAGGGGGATTAGAGTGCAGAGGACACAGGAGACAAGAGAAGGAGTGATCATCTATCCCATCACTTGGTCTGAGACCCTGAGGGCCACAGGGAGCAGACTCCTGTTCTGTTCATTCTCATCATATGGAAATAGATGAGAGGATCCATCAGGACTGAACAAGATGCAAGGGTGGTCTAGGCAGAAAAATGTGTGTCTAAATGAGATTTGGTGCAGGACCTGTCACTGCACTAGGGAAGAGGATTGATAGTTACGGGGTAGACTGTCTTCTCAAGGGAAGAATGAGCTTCCGGTAGACCCTTATCTCTACATTCTGAAGGGCTGTGTGGATCAGCCTGGAAGGGGAGTGATTGGAGTTTATGATCCCTCTTCATCCTCAGATTCCTGAATGCTGACCCACACTACAGTGCTGCATCAGCTTCTGGGCCTACATGGTCCCCTTCCCCAAGCCAGGGATCATTCCATGGCTTCAATTCCCCAGGAACAGGTATGTTCCTTCCCTTCAGGAGACTTCACCCTGACTTCTCACTCCAGGCCCCCTGGAACTATACTGGGAATGGAAGGCATCCATCAACTGGGAATGTGGAACTGCCAGCAAGCACCATGTGGAACCTCATCTTGTCCTCCAAAAAGCTTCTTGGAAGATGAAGGTATGCCTGAGGGAGAATATGTGGCGTGATCCTCCACAAGCAGTGGGAAACCATACCCAGTGAGAGAGCCCACAATCAGGAAACACTTCTGCCCTTGCATGTCTGCTGTACAGCCACTTTGAGCCAAGGAGGTACTAGGAACATCAAAGTGTTCCAGGCTGTGGGAATTGAAGAAACTAAACTAGACCTGCCCACAGCCCCATGCAGACTCTACCTGGGTCAGAAGAAACTAAACAGAGCAAGAGACTGAACTTTGAAATTGCCTCAGAAGGACTTTTCATTCCTGGAAATAAGACTGGACTTTACTCTGCCAGGTGTTGACCAATAGAGAGTGAGAGCCAAGCACACCAGATTAGAGAAATGAATACAAAGATGACAAACATTGCTTCCTGCTGACATCTACCTGGCCTGGTTGTTGAAGTATCTGTTACTTATTCTTTTTGGATAATTGGTTCCAGTTTCTGTCTCCCAAGCTCCAGTGTGTTTCATGAAAGGAGGTCACAGCAGAAAGTTGGACATAGTTTACAAGTTAAAGAGGACAGTGAAAGTTGTCTATGTGAAGTGCTTTAACCTGATTGCTCAGACATCATTGCCTAAGTTTGGGACAATAGTAAAAGTTGCCTTGGTAAGTGCCATTAACCTGATTGATTAGCTTGCTGGATGACTGCTATTCCAGGAACCAGATTTGCAATCAAATCTCTCTCTCTCTCTCTCTCTCTCTCTCTCTCTCTCTCTCTCTCTC